ACACACATTATCATTCACCAGAAGTTCTATAGTAGCATAGTTTATACCAGGTATGATCGCATACAGACATATAAGGTACCTATCATATTATGTGACAGTTACGTGATCAAGTTTTTATCGAAGTTTAGTCATTCAAGAGGAAGCTCACGTAACACTCGAGCATAACTGCGATCCATGACGAATGTATTGGCACTATCCTTGCTCTCACACTCAGCTGACGTTATCGGTATTATGGATGGATCGTGTGCTTGCCGGTAGGCAGAGAACGGCATAAGCGATCGGGCAGCCGGCTTGTCAGTGGCCTTGCAAACTGGTTCCCCGTAGCCCGACTCGATTATGCTAATCGCATATGCGTGTTAGCATTCGACTGATCTGCTCGCACACACGGTGCACGAGGCTCGTGTGTTTATCGTTGCAGGCACATAAACACGATAGCCACATACACACATGCCACACACAGCGAATACCAAGGATCAGGATTCCGACGCGGTCTCTGAGTGTGCTGGAATCCTCGATCGCGCACATCTTTCAGTGCCGCCACGATCTTCCGTAAACTAGACACCTAATATGCGTAACGGTATAACGTCTTGGATGCCACACCGCCGTGCTCGTGTTTCTTACTAAATCTAACGTGGTCACTTGCTAGCATATCTCCTTCACAATGTCTCCATCTTTACTTGATGTGCAGAATATCTCAGAATAATTTAGTGAAACGGAATTTTCTGAACACGGATATCTCGGATATTTATTAAAACGGTGTATATTATTTTTAATAATTTTCAAAATTCAATTTTGGTGCAAGATTATATTGTAAGCAGAAGCTTATGACAGCTTGAAATTTGTGCTCGACATAATCACCAAACAAATTGATATTAGATTTTTCAATAATCTAAAATGAAATACGAATCAGCCTAATAATTAAATCGTGCCTTTGTTTGTATTATATACGTAATTTTCAACATCATTAAAAATTGTAATATATGTATAATGGCGTGTTAAAATGTAAATTCATTGTACAATGGTCGCTAGGCCGGACAGATTTAATACCCGAGAACTTCCGCCAGGCAAATAAATCACGTGGCAGCTCCAAGTTCGAATGCATATAACAAATTCGATTACGGTATAATATAGAGTTTAAAAAATATTGTTATCCTGTTTCAGGATGGATCATTTTACGTAATAAAGTACCTTGAAATTGTGATATCTCTCATGAATATGCGTCAATTTTAATTTAATCCTCACACATTATTCGTCTCGTTTCTTTATGAACCATCTTGTTCCAAATTATATGTTGCACATAATGATAGTTATTACTTTGTCCGCTGCGTACCCATTCTATGTAATTACTTGTAATATGTAGATATATGTTATACAAGTAATCTCTGACATATTAACATCTTATGTGCTAAACAAAAAAACAGTCTCTGTATTAACTAAAGCTTCAAATTTGGACTGACCTCAATGAGCTATAATAAAGCGACTACTGTCAATTACATATATTGCTATATTATAACTCATTAATTTTATATATATATATATATATATATATATATATATGTGTGTGTGTGTGTGTGTGTGTGTGTGTGTGTATGTGTGTGTGTGTATTAAGCTTTTCTTGTCGAGTTATTTTCTCGCACTTTTAAGATATCGCAGCATTCTATTTGGGACTCCCAAGTTGAGAGTAAACGCGTTAAGGATTGCCAATTTAAACGCGCTAAATATTACATAGCGCAAAGTTAGTAACTTCCAACTTTTTGACGTAATACTGCTCCTGTTTGTTGATGACATCAGAAGTGCGTTGAGTTTACGAGGCACTTAGTTTACGACTGTTTTACGAGGTGCGGACTACCAGCACGAGCTACGAATCTCATAACTGTCAAATCTAAGTGCCATTAATGGTCCTCAACGATCTTTAAGGATATAGCTACCTGCGGCGCTGCTCATTTAATCTAGTCGTTTTACCTATCCGGCGATACGTATGCATTTATTCATGAGCAACAACATTCTTTATCTCTCTTATATTGCTTTACTAAAACCAAAAATATTTGTAAAATTCCACTATTCTATATTTAAATGTCAAGTGGCTGATTCATGCTTCTGGAGCGGGCAGAGTCAACACAGTCGATATAATCCACTCCAAGTGTTTCCGACACATTAAAATAATAGATAAGAGGCTGTGAAACAAAGAAATTCCTGGTTAGAAGCCATTTTGCTAACTAGAGGCCATCGTAGGTATATGACGTCACTTCCATATCCAACTATGGCGTCACATGACGCTCCACCCTGTTTTCAATCACCTTGGCCTCGAACCCACCCAACTGTCAGACACGCTCCACCCCGTTTTTTCCTCTTCTTCCGTGTTATCACTATCGCCATCTACCGGCGATATTATGCACTTCTCAGACCCTTAAGTAATCAGTTAGTTTATGATCCTCCCGGTCGATGTCACTACTAAATTAAACCTATATATCTACCGGGCATACAAATATCCCAGGGAGTCAAAATAATGTCATATTCCACTTTAGAAGGAAGAACAACATTCGATAACGAAATGTATGACATCGTATTATCTATTTTTTTTTTTAATCATTCTAATTTCGAAAGCACCAATATATTACGTCGCAACTTATAATATTGTGAGCATAGTTTGAGAAATAAATTATAATGATGATTGAATCTGCGGACCTCGATCATTAAATTAAAGAAATGCAGTTTGCAAAGATTCAGGACCGTGAAAAGTATGCCGTTCACGTCAATAGAATTCAGACACTCGCACTTCAGAGGAGGATACATAAAGGGGAATTTACGGGGCGGGAATTGAGTTCAAATCCTGCGAGAGGTAGAATTTATACGCGAGAGACGAGGAAGAGAAGGAGGGGGTAGTGAGCGCGTGGAATCGCTATCGGCGGCCATTCATCAATCCGTGGAATCAATACGCTGGAATTAATGAAAGCGCCGCGCGAACAGCAAGCTAGCGGCCGGAATGTTAATCGCGATCGTCCCGCGTCCGATCCGTTCTCATGTACAGCAAACTCCCAAGGGCCGCACCTCCCACCCTCTCTCTCACCCTTCAGCCTGCTGCGCTGCCCCTTGCACATCCAAGCTCGTTTCTAGTCCCGTGTCTACCACTCACACTGTCATGCTATGTACAACAGTATCACATGTAATAGATGTGTGTATATATGCAAACATTTTTTTATTAAAATTTAAAAATTAATTTTTTTCAATTTCAATATTTTTTATGTAGGATATATTATTGATATCGTCATTTGTGAATTTAAAACTCCATTAATATGACGTAGATTGTCATAATCTCAAAAAGCAATAATAAACATGTCTCTAGATAAAATCAGATTACGTTTATTATAGATCTCTACTCTCGCCCATTGGACAAATTAAATAAAAAAATTGAGAGGGAAAAGTTATTTACCGGTGAATAACGTCATTCAATTATTCTACTACCTAGCAATTCTAGACCTCACTGTTTAACCATGTCAAACAGTAAATGACATTCAAGAATTCATCGATAACTTTGTGGCCTCTATACTGCTAAGTTCCTGGTACGAAAAAATCCATATCTTGTCCGAAAGGTGGCGCAAGGTCATAAAATATAACGAAAAATATTTTTATTTAAATCTATATCTAATTTTTCGAAAATATATAGTTTAAATTGTATATGCATATATATAAAAATTTATGAACAGCTTTTGTACTTAAATCTAATATATTTACACATATATTTTGTTTACTTCGGCATACAGTCGGTATAGAAGGTTTCGACTTCAAATCGGCAGATCGACGTCTTCTTTGAAAGGGAAAACACTTCTCCCTTCAGTCGATAAGAAACTCATGTATTATTACATATTGTTATATTATTAAATACGTTTTTGCAAGACAAAAAAAATTAATATTTCTGTTGCATCTGTTAACTATTACATATTACTATGTTATATATAAATAGTCAGAATAAAAAATTATTTACTTTACTTTGATAATTTAATCTACATAATTATAAATGTATAGATAACCAATATATCGTGTCAATATTTAGTCAATCCCGTTATCAAATGGCGATTAGTCAATTGGTTATTAGCATACAACAACCACTCAAATTAAAAAAAAAAGAAATCTCTATTCACTTCTTTATTTACCTATGTTATATTTTTTTAATCATTTAATTTTGTCAATACCAATTATATCAATACCAAAAAATAAATACTTTTCCTATTATTAAATTAATACACTATTATTAATTAGTAAAAAATTAATGCTAATATTCTGCTCTACTGGCATATATAACACACATACTAGGACCTCGGCAAGGATTCCGAAAAAAAGATTAATGTAAGGGGAAGGTTTCGGTGGGGACTTCGGTAGCCATGCTGCTTAATGGATGGGAATTTTTCCAAATTTAACGATCGTTTAGCCCGCCCACACAGAACGCTGTAACAAGTTTGGCGTCTATGTGATGGCCGTCACCGTGACGAGCACGTGTGTGACTCTCCTTCTGTTACTTACAGCTGAACTCCGCTCAGTTCATTCAGTTCACTTGACAAAGATCACGCAAAGTGAGCTTTTAGCCGAACCCGGGACGTTGTATACATTTAAATCTTATGGGATCTTGACACAAAATACCGTCATAACGCTATTAGTGACAGTTTCTTCTGCTTTTTCGAAAATTGAAACGGTTTATATTCCAAATATATTAATATTGTGTACATGAAAATATGTTTTTTCTTGAGTTTTCACAGTAATGATATGTCATGAAATTTATGACCGTCAATCAGGAGTTCGATCACAAGTATTATTTTGTTCTTCATAACGTTCTTCTTTCGTTTTCATCCGTACTAAATTTAATATAATTGTTACCCACAACTAAGTGTAAAGCATTAAGCGCGAAGCACTTTACATTCATGATACATTTAAGCAAAGTGTGATTAATACTATTCTCTGTTATGATATAATAAAATACATGTAAAATTTTATTTTATTTTTTACAGGTGCGGCGTAACTTCGATAGTAGGGTGGACAGAAGAACAAAACGGATCTGGAGTAACTTGGCATTTTGAACGAAGGTATCACACCGAGGAAGACGAAGGACTCTGATTACTATCATCCACCACCACCTCGTATACGCGTTATACTCGTGTCTTTCTCTTTCGCCCTCTTTCTCTCTCTCTCTCTCTCTTTCTCTCTCTATCTCTTTCTCTCTTTTTCTCTTTCTCCTTCTCTCTCTCTCTCTCTCTCTTTCTCTGTTTCTCTTTATCTTTATCTCTCTCTTTATCTTATTCTCCATTCTAAAGGTTCTGTAGTGCTCCAGTTTATAATTTTATCCTCCTTCGGTAGTGAAACCAGTGTGATAAAAAGTCAAATGATGTACATGTGATCCACAATGATGATGGTATGATATATACATATATATATATATATATATATATATATATATATATATGTGTGCTTGTGTCGTCCAACAGTGCGTGAGACGAAAAAAATTGAGTGAGAGAAAAAAATTTTACGGAGAAGTGCAATCCCGAAGTGATAAGTCTGTATCTATATAAACACGTGTGCCAGAGGGAAGTGTGTCCGTACGAAGAGTACAAAGCAAAATAAGTTTACGAAGGAAGGAGGACAGAGAAAATAATCATAAGTTGGCCGAGGACAACCAAAGGAAAACAACCAGTCAGCAACGTAGAGAGGTGATATTAGCAGGTGGGACAGGCGGGAACAGTAGCATGAGTTCGTATTTTGCGAATTCGTACATCCCGGACCTGCGAAATGGCGGGGTGGAACATCCGCATCAGCATCAGCAGCACTACGGTGCGGCCGTACAGGTGCCTCAACAGACACAATCAGTTCAACAGCAGTCAACTCAGCAAGCTAGCGATCCTTGCGATCCGAGTTTGTTACGCCAGGGAGTTTCTACCCACCATTATGGAACTGCGGGAGGTCAACAGGACATGCCTTATCCGAGGTTTCCCCCGTATAATCGGATCGACATGCGGAATGCGGCTTATTACCAGCATCAGCAGGAGCATGGAAGTATGGACGGCATGGCCGGCTATAGGTCGACGTCCCCGAGCACCGGTATGGGCCACATGGGACACACGTCAACCCCTAACGGACATCCGTCGACACCCATCGTCTATGCTAGTTGCAAGCTTCAAGCAGCCGCTGTCGATCATCAAGGTAGCGTCCTCGACGGACCAGACAGTCCACCTCTCGTCGAGTCCCAGATGCATCACCAAATGCACAGTCAGCACCCGCATATGCAGACGCAGCAATCGCAGCATCCACAGCAGCAATCGCAGCACCAGCATCTGCAGGCGCAGCAGCAGCATATGATGTACCAGCAACAACAATCTCAAACCACATCGCAACAGGGACAAAGTGGAATGCACCCGCAACAACAGCAACAAGCTCAGCAGCATCAGGGCGTCGTTGCATCACCGCTCAGTCAACAGCAACAAGGCACGCCTCAAAGTGCATCAAGCGCAAATATACCAAGCCCATTATATCCTTGGATGAGAAGTCAGTTTGGTGAGTTCAACGTCTTTTCTTTAAATATCTGTAACGACATTGATAAGTGTGTCAAGAATTAACACGCGCGGAAATATTTTTTTATAGAACATACGATTTTGCAAATTCAACGTGTTAAGCGTCCGGTTCGTTAAGGTTTTATTTGGACTATTTTATACATTAATAAAATAGGTCTCAGGATACATAGTTATTTTTAATATGATGATACACATATCTTAAAAATGCTCTTTTACGTGGCATCGTGCCTAGTAGGATAAGCGGAATACGTGACGCAACTTTTGAAAATAAGATCAAGGTTTCACTTCGTGCGTGACCAAAAGATTTCGTAGAAAGCTAAGGTTCTCGTAAGGCTTCTCAGGTAGTAACAACTCCTGAATTTATGCAACGGCGCATAAAACTACTCCAAATTCGTATGGCAGCAGACTTTGGATTAGCACAATGTCTCTAGTTTCACACAGTGGGCACGGATATTTATTGCATTGACATTTAGCCTACCTGCCTACTGGTTTCACGACGCGTAGACCGAGTCACAGTAAGAGTTATCGTTTGCTTCTTTCCTACACACCGGTTGCTTTATGGGTTAAGCCCACAAAGTCGACACATCCACTTTCGTCGGTGACCACACATTCTGTTTGTTTCATCAGTCTAGTCCGTCGCATTATTCATTGTCTTTATTAAATAATGATACAATATATTTTCCTAAATTAATATCGTTCAATATTTATTATGTTTGTTCCTATTCAAATTTGAAAATTTTAAATCTATGGATTTAAGAAATAATTCGAAATTTTAATTAATCATCAATTCGATTCGACAAAATACTTAAAATGGCTAAATAACGATTGATTCGGCACTTATAGTTGACAGCGAGTCGTTTGTATTACATTCTCGAGGACAGTTTGACAAATCTTTTCGCATTCCTCGTGATTCTGAACTTTTGAATGATTTATGATCGCCGTGACCAAGTGATGATGTGCCGTACACCATCATTAAGGTAAAAGAATTCATAAATGCGGGCAACTGAACAGGTTGAGGATCCCTGCTGATCCTTCATTCACTTCCTCGCTTCTTTATTGATCTGTAGTTCCTAATATTGGAGAAACGCAATACCTAACCCTAACAAGGCCAAGATCTATCGCAGACAAAACTGTAACGAACCATATTTAGTCCCTGCTTTCTTCACACTTTAGTCGCTCGTCGCTTCTGCTGAAAGTAACTTCTCTCCGCGTTACTTCCTCAAGTACAAATTGACTATAGATATAACATTGTGGTGATACGTGACGTAAAGTGACGTAATTTTAATATTTATATAACGTTATTTGTCTCGGAATTTTTTTTTATTATCTTGCATCGGAAACTTAGCGGTTTAAAGACAAGAAGTCATTAATGATTGTCGAATATTATTCACTGTTAAAATACATATTTTCTGAGACGTACTGCATCGATTGAAACAGTTAATCTGAAGGAGTGAAGTTTGGTGAATAAATACGGTGCGTAACAACATTTCACATTTATATATTGGGTAAAAACTATTAGACGCTTTGAAATATTCTAGTAATATATTGACTTATTAATAGTCATTAATAATACATTTATTGTTACAGTCTGAATGAATTTCTTGCATTTTTTATAGTCTGTACTAAGTTTTTTATACACATTAAAGGATAGACTATTTGTTTTATTTAAAAAATTGTGTTTTATTTTAAAAAATGTTTTAAGTTCTTATATATCTTTAGTTTTCTTTTGTTATTAATTTGTATAGAAAAAGTGGATAATAATAATGATAATAATAATTACAAGAATTGTAATTTTATTTTACAAAATTGTTGCTACGTCACTGTAATAACTTCCCGGATTATAAGGATTAATATCATGTAACATAACAAGTATTTTGAAACTCATGAGGCGTCAAGTTAATCACACATTATCGCTTCCTTTGTCAATTAAGTAATATTAAATTCTAACATTGTTAGGCAATGTAACAATTAAACGGTTTGTTTCATTGATAAAATGTCGATTTTTCCGAGTTTTCGATTATTATTAAGATCAAAATGTATTAATTTAACAATATCTGTGATACTTTAAAATCAACCAACAAAGAGAACATTTAACATAAACTTTATGCATCGTGTTTATTATTGTTTTTTGATATACGTTAATCTCTGTGTTACATTTTTTTACTGAAAAAATTACAATATTTTAAAAACACAAAAAGATAGGGAAATATTTGAATTTAGACAAAAATTATTCTAAATTTTAATGGAAAGAATTCACGAGTATATCTAACATACCGTTGAGGATTGCTTGTACCATCTTTCGGTGAAGTTCAGAAGCTGATCCTATCTGCTTCAGGATTGGCCGATAAACGGGACGGTTATGACGACGTCGTGGGTCGTACTTTACTGCCAGTTAACGAAGAAAACAGTTCGAGTCCCTGAATGTATCCACAGATGTCGGCACATATAAGAATGCCCCGTCGCATTTTGCAATTTTATTTCCTTGCAAAATTAATTTTGTGCATATATATATTTAGCTACTATGATTCTACGTAAATTTTGCTCCTGAAAATACATAAAGAGAGACTCCATTATTCTCTTGCGTTTTTCTTCCATTGAAATACGTGCCTAATTAAATTTTACTAGAGTGATTTTAAGATAATTTCACTAATGCTCCTCATTATGCATTTGAAACAATTTTTAAATTGTTGTTATGTAAAAAACAGACCCTCAATAACGTCTCTTTAAATTCGGAAATTTTGCGATACCTTTTGTCTTTGATAACATAACAGTCATGACGCCAACCTCATTACATCACCAACCAGACATTCCAGGTTAAACATCGCGAGTCCAAGTGTTGACCCGAGGAGAAAAGACCGTTCATCGATACCTGCGATATTTTTAATGCATGAGATAATTACGATTCTCCGCGTGAAAAGATTTATGGCATCTCCATTCCTTCTGTTACGTATCCCAGTCATTCCCCTTTCTCCCCGCCCCTCATTAAACATGTGCGATATAGTTATATACATGTGTAGTTTCCGTTACTGTACATACATATGTATATAAAATCATATGTATAATATATTTCTTATAGAATAAGCCAAGTAAATTGTACCTTTTTTAAAATTAATTACAGAAGAAAGTAGTAAATGAAAAAGTAGATTCTTGAAGTAAAAATAGAAATTTTTGTTCAATTTGACTTCTTGCGACATTATTCTTTTTTACATGTGTAACGATAATCTCTTTCTCTCTCTCTTTTTCACTAAAATATTTAATAGATGAAATATATATATATATATATATAAAGTTTATAATACTCTCTTTGAAAACAAATCGAAAAGATCCGAACAAACAGAACTAAAGAAATCGACATTTAAAATCTGAAATGCATTTTATTATATGGAATTAAACGTTTCCGAGATTGGTGGTCGCGTAGTGATGGCGGCTTCATGAGATATTCAGAAAAAGATGGAGTTCAAAAGGGGCAGAGAAGGAGGAGTGTTGAAAAAAAAGATTAGGAGATATTTGTGTGTACGCGTGTGTGTATGACAGAGAAGAGGGTAAGAGGAAGGGGATAGGAGGAGGCAGAAGGAACGGATGATGATGAATGAATCCACAGAAATTCTGGGACCGTTCGCGTTTGGGGCTGTACCATGGAGGCAGTCTTGAACAATATGGAGGTCATGGTTTGAATTTTTATTTGATATCTGCTAAAAATTTACTATATTCGAAATGTCGAAGTTATTTCTGTTTGATTATATATTAATTTGTATAATTGTCATATAATAATTTAAGTTTTTGTTAAAAATAAAAGACTCCAATTGATTTAGTTTCAAACTCTATGGGACAACCATATTATTTGTGTCTAGACAAGCAGCTGCAAAAAAAATGAATTTTAATGCCCCAAGTGGTACGCAAAGATGCATATGTCGCAGCGAATCATTCTCGCCGTTCATTATCTCGACCTTCTACCTCGGGTTTTTTAGACTCCGTCTTCTTGTCCGACTGTCTGTTCATCTGCTAGGAAGAACAAAAAAGAACAACGAAGGCGAGAGGGGAAGAGCGCCTATCAGATACTCCGGTCTCCTTGGGGCTTTAACTCCCTCTATAAGTGTTAACGGACTTGGTGCTTTCCTCTTTCTCGTCGGCAACTTCTGTAAAATTCCTTTTGAAGTTGGTTTTGGTTCAACTAAAGCACTTAAATTAAATTAATTTCACGTTGAAGATATAAACTGATCTCTAAAGAAATAATTACACGTTCTATATATATATATAAATATATATATATATATATATATATATATATATATATATATATATATA